CAAACATTAGCTTTATCATTCAAGATGTATGATCCACACAGTAAATGACCAGTGTGGATGTGTGTGAACGCGTGCGCGTGTATGATGATGATGGAGACGTACCTAAATGCCTGCTTGTGCGTAGGAACGTAGGTACGCACAATATTGTGCATACGAACTGTTCTTGAATCCGGCCCCAGTGGACATTTCCTTAGATGTGTGCATTGTATTACTGTAGTGCAGGCCAGCCAACCGTTAAAAATTGTCGTGAGAGTGAGGACACCAGGGAGGACTGTGAGAATTCTGATAGCTCATTAGTAGTCACTGAATATGTTCTTTGTATTACTGTAAATAAACCATTGTAAAAATTTCAAATTTCAGTCTTTTAATTAAAAAAATGCTGCGGTATCTGGTATCCACACGGTCCGTCTAATTACCGAAAGGCACCGAAAGGCACCTAAAAAACACCGAAAGGCGCTATGAGAACGTCGAATTCCACCGGAAGGCACCGAAAGAAACAGTCCGGAGCTAAAATGTCAAAAAAAAATTCCACCGAAATGCCCTAAAAATGACTGAACTCGGCCCGAAATTAGGTACACAAATACTTAATTCGGAGCCAATGTTTACATGCCACAGCGCCCTCTCTTGGATGTTTTATAAGTAAATATGGGGATTTTCAATAAAATAACACGTTTTAGTATTAACCACGATTTACGTATAGAAACTATATGTTATTTTTACTGATTTCTCCGTATCTTTCCTTGAATTTTTCATTGTCTTTCAATGCCTTTCGGTAGATTTTTCTGCGTTTCGGTGCCTCTTGGTAATTTACCATATTATGCTGTCTAAACACTAAAAGGCACAAAAGGCAGGGTAAAAAATGCCGAAAGGCCTCTTAACACACCAAAAATACACCGAAAGACAATAAGTAACTCAGAAATCCATTCCAAAGGCATCAATAAAGAAGACGGAATGCCACAATAACTTATAAGGCTAAAAAAGCTCACCGAAATGCACAATATTGAGTAGAAAACTATTTACAGCCAATGCTCTCCTGCTCCGAGTTTAATCGCCGCAGTGCAAACGACAGTTAATAAATTCTAGTTATGTGTGTTTTCCTCTCCCCGCGTGTACTTCACGTAGTCGCCTGCCATCATTATGACGCGGTTCCGGTCGCATCGCGCCTACTCTCCCTAATAATCTGCGAGTAGCGGCAAATATCGGTATGCACGCGCGTGACAGCAGCTAGCTACTGGTTTTGACTGCAGCTCTACCGCGTGCAAACACACAGCGGTGTGAGGGAGGATTATGTTGTAATACACGATAACATCTGCATGCTTACGTCATGCATCGATGAAATTAGACAGAAATCTGCATTCACATATATAAAGCTTATAAAGACTAATAACGTTTGAAGTCTGATTCTTAGACACTTAACATGCATCATCACTGATACCTCGATTGCCAGCTGACGTCACGCGTGTTCATATCAGGTAGCTGAAAACTGATAATATGCGGAGTTCTATCGCGACGATTGATATCTCACTAGCTTGATGCAGTCAGTTTGGCGTCATCTCCAGCCTATGTGATAACTCACAATTTAGTGCTGCGCGCGCTCTCTCCCTCTCTCTCCCTCCCTCCCTCCCCCTCTCTCTCTATCTTTCTCTCGCCCTCTTTATCGGCGGAAAAGTCGGAAGCCTAACCTCACCGCCCCTCCCCTCTCTCTTTATCTGCCAAAGTATGCAAAGTAGAAGGAATAATAAAAACTATGTGTTTTACTCCAGGTTTTCAATAGCTCACAATGTATTCTAATGTGTATTTGAGC